GTACATAAGTACTTTATCAGGCAGCTGCACTAAGCCAGATAAAGCCAGGTAAAAGCACTACATTCATATCTCTACACTACAAGGATGGCCCCTATTCAGCTTCTCTAGGCTGGCCTGACCCAGTTCTGTTGCAGTGGGCCACAAGGGTCTGTATTTCCCAATCTTCCAGAGTAAGCCATCAGCTTTTTTTATTTTTCCTTCTTCAAATAGATTGAAATCCATGGATTGTCTTTGAGTTTTCATGGGGAAAACAAGAACATAATATTGCAAACTTTTGGTTTGGCTTATTATGTCATTTTTTCCCTCATTTTGTATGCTAGTTTATGTGGGAACCCATGTTTTTATTTAACAGCAGTTTTTCTGCAGACTGCTTTGAGATGTCCTATGGAAAATGGACAAATCATCCACATGATTGTAGTTCATGTAGTTTATCTTATGGCCACATAGGCTGTAAGATACAGACTCACAACAAACCAAGTGACTTTCCTATTGCAACAGAAATAAGGAGTCAGCAGAGCAAGGAAGATGGCAATGAGTAACTCAGGGAACCTTTCCTGTCTAGGTGTGGGAGATGTGCCATGTTTCTCTGCAGGCGTGGAGGCTTTGGTCTGAGGTTGCTAACTTTTCTGCAGAGGACACACAGAAAGAGCAAGACAGGCAAGCTCTAAAAGCAATCCAACTTCTTTCATAAATCAGCAGGATACAGTATCCAGTTGTTTACTTAGCATAATTTTACACAGACTAGATTGGACAAGTCATGAAACACTGGGCACAAGAGCTGAGAAATGCTGCTATTAAAAAAGGCATGCGGAAAACTTTCCCAAGGGATGCCAAGAGCGTGTGTGGGAAGAGGTAGGAGGAAGAAGCAGCAGCGTCAGGGGTTATAACAAACAGAAGAGAAGCAATTGTGTTTTTCCCTCAAAATCAGTTACTAAACTTTTCAAAGAGAAAAGCATTGCTGGAAGTGGAACACAGAAGCAACCCTGGAAACAGCCGTGCAGCTGCAAGGAAAGGCTCCAAAGCAGAGCAGAGTCAGGCTTTAGGGTGTAATGCAAGTTAACAGCTTGGATGCAGGCAGATTTGCCAACTAAGCTCTGCTAAGGTTTTAAATGCTATTTGCTTCACAAGAAAACAGATTCTTCTAAGTAGACAGGGACTGCTAAATCTTGGGAGTCATGGTAATCTTATGATGATGGAAACCTAACAGTATGGTCAGTGAGTGGAAGGGATCAACATGGACTGAACACCACCTTCTCCAAACCAATGTCATAAAAGGAACTGAGACCTTACATTAGAAAGATTAACAACAGACTACATATAATGCCTCCCTCACAAGAAGCATGCAGCGTGAGATTCATCCTACATATGCAGATTTTGTAAAAAAATTTTTAAAGCACACAGATGCCAATAGCTTGCACTGTTCCCCTTTTACAGTCATTGGGCTCATTGCAACAAGGAATAAGAATAGCTTTCCATTGATGAAAACTGGTGAGGTTTTTGGTTTTATTTGTTCTACACTCCAGTGAAATTTTTTCAGCCCACATGCACTGCAGCTTTGCCCTTCAAAAGTGAAAAGAAGGCGTACCTGTGCACCATTCTGTAGTGATACCTATAGATCTACAGGTCTTACTGTTCCATTAGCGTTTGCTTTAGTGCTGCAGATGTCAAGATCAGTAAAGATCCAGTCTTCTAAGTATTTTCATTATTTGTTTAGAAAGGAGGAAATTAGAAGAGGCAGGGGAGTTTTATGCACATTGACATCCCCCAACATTTCAGGCAGCAGAACTAACTAGTCATAATTTATTCAAAGATCAAGCTGATAGGCTTCAGCCCACCTCCTCTTCTCTCATCCTTGCCACCATTCTTTTCAAAATTAAAATCTAAAGAGAAAACCACAAGAAAAGATAAGAAGGATGAAGTGCATTTCCACAGTGCCATGTGCACTCCAGAGTTGTAATATTTCTTCCAATGCCTCGAGTCAGAGGTTATAATACCTCATTTTCTTCATGCCAACCAAAACATTTTAAGGAAAGCCTTCACTCTGACTTTGACATCCCTCCTGTGTGGATGATCAAAGCTTTACAGCCTAGAACTGACATAACTTCACTGATCCTGAGCAATGTGTGAATTGCAGAATCATGGCCTTGAAAACTGAAAATCTGGGGTGCGCCCACAGAGCATGCCAATACATTAGGTTTTCTAATTTGTTAAGCATTTGGCAAAATAAGCACTGGATCAGAGGTATCCCAGAAGAAAGGAAGTCTTGTGTCTGTTCTCAGTTCAGGTTAGTCAGAATAATCAGATATCCCCCATGGCACCGCTTGAATTTAAGCAGAAAGGCATAACACTGCCAATAAAACATGCACATAGGCACAAATCACCTACAGCTTCAAGCAACCACTCATCAGAAAACCACAATTTCAGTTTTGTGAAAGTTTCCACTCAAGCCTCTTTCTCCATGGGCATGGATACAGTATTACCATTAGCAGTTCATCTAACTGTAGCTCTTAAAACAGGCAGAGAAGGTGAATTTTGGCTGTGGTTCCCTCAGCATTTCTTTTGGAAGAATGCTAATGGTGGAAGTCACTGCCCCCTTTGTCCCCATGTTCACTCCTCCCACTGTCCCCATAAGTTGTGGTGAGCTAGGACCAGGATGGACCCACATTGTTTGCCAGCAAAGGAGGTGTTCATTAAACAAATCCTTGAGGAACTGAAGCTATGGCTTGAGGATATGGCTCTCTGGCAGAAATATCAATTTGAGCTTGAGGACATGGCTCTCTGGCAGAAATATCAATTTGAGCTACACTGCCCCTTCTCCCTGATGGCCAGACTGGATCTTTTCCAGTGTCATGCCACCTTCTTCATAGCAACCACACCAGAGTTTGCAACATCATGTGCTGAACTCAATCAATGAACCAATCCAGGCTATAAGTAACCAGAGGAAGGAGAGGAGTAAGGGTATTTTAAAACTGGGACTAGAGCCTGTTCACTGATCCAGGTCACCACCTGACCCCAAGGCAGCTGTGCCTGCACAAATGTTGGGAAACAGGCAAGGAATCAGTGAGCAAGGCTGGACAAGAACATCCTGCAGCCACATTTGCCACTGAGAAAATGGTACGTACAAGAGTATCACCCACGCCTGGTGTTAAAAACTGGAGCTGAGTTAGTACAACTTGGAAGAACTTACACATTTTTAGTCTCTGTGAGCTCTTTTCTTTGAAGCAAAAACACATGAGCTCCCCTGGTAGGAATGACAATACTTTTAAGCTGCATGGGGCTAGCTAAATCTCCAAACTCCTCCCTCCTTCATCCCCTAAAAAAGCACTGTACTTATGAGGTAAAAGACAGTGCCAATATACAACTTGCTTTTCAAAACCAGACAAAAATTACAGTAAGTTTCAAAACTTACTCCTCCAATATGAACTTAGCCATACTAAAGACAGCATTTTTCAACTGTTTTCTTTTTTATGTGCAACCTCTCTATTACAACTGTTTGTGATTAATACATGCTATTAAAAACAGAGGGTGTGCAATAGAGCCAATCTCAGTATTATGGAAGAAGCCATTGTCATGCACAGTCCAGCAAGCTGCCCTGTGCAAAACTGCTGCACAGATGAAAACATTTGCTGTGCAAAGAACATTCACTGTGTGTCAATGTACCTTCATTCCTCTTTGGTTTCTCTGCTTGTTAACTGCAGCATAAAAAGCATTGCCTCCTCATGAAGGCAGCCTTTGAAAATCTTCAGCTGAAAATTGATCTTTATCAAGCCATCTGGCAAAAAAGGAATCTAGCTGTTGGCAGACACAACAGCTGAAGTTAGAGAGCAACAGTCACACTGCCCATCGATCACTAGAGATTCAGAGATAAGACTGAAGCCCTATCAGTTGACCTAACCCTGTCTCTTGTTTTCCTCCTCTCCTGCCTGTTTACCCATTACACCCCACCACTCATCCAAGACCTTGTGTCTAAGGCCATTTTTACTTGCTGCACCTATACCCATACTAAGCTATAAAATATTCTGCAGCAATATCCTTGCAGAAGTTTTGCTTGCTATAACCATCCTGGCCAAAGCCCACCAGCTGTGTACAATATACACACATTAATGTTATTCTTCCCCCTGGGTAAGACTGAGGAGCTCAGAAGAATATGACAGTTTGAAAAGGCACAACCTCTCTCCAGAAGAGCAGTATCAGTCAAGCTTTGCAGATATCACATGGGAGTATCTCATCCAATTTTAAATTTGAAACTGTTAATTTGTGAATGGAACTCTACATACCACAGAGTAACAGGGAGAAGCCCATGCTCTTCTTCATCTGTTTTGAAAACTTAATTTAAACTGATTGCTTTTTGAACAGCATAAACTGCAAGATGCCCAAGGATTCAAATACAGGCATATATTTTTTATTTCTTTGACTGGGTTAATTTCCCCTCTTTCCCATCTAAAGCTCCACAGTAAATCCCCATGGGTCAGTTACTGTAACTACTTTACATTGCTGAATTCTGTTAGCAATCTGCTCATCTTTCCTGCAGATGTTTCTGCTTTTAGGCTTCTTGGAACTACAAGGGACTCATTCCTTTGAATAAACATATGCAATTTGTAGGCTGCAGATGTACCAGGAAGAACATTGTCCTCTACAACAAGCAGACACCTCACCTTCTTCTTTGGTAAAAGCAAGATGTTGCTTTTCAGAGAAAACAAGTGCGAAGCAAGCAATCTGAACCTTTTCCCCCTCTTCTAAGAAATTCCTGAAAAGAGAGTGCTACATGCACCCAATATGCCCTGGGACTGGACAATGCAATTTTTGGAGGCAAATGCCCCAGCACACAGGCACACAGAAATCTCAGGCAGATGGACTGGAGAGGTAAGGTCCTGCAAGCAGAGAGCAAACATTCACGTGCAAGGACCATGACTTTCAACAGAAATGTGATGAAAGCCTTATACCATCTCATGATTAAATTTTACACAGCTGTTAATGAAGCAGAAGGTTCTTCTACTCACCTCAGTAACATCCATGACCTTGATGGCCGCCAGCTGACCCGTTTTGACATGGCGACCCTGGTGAGAGAGAGAGAGAGAGAGAACAGTCAGCACCAGCACCTCACCCATCCCTTCAGCTTACACAGAGCAAAACACTTGGACAAGAGTTACAGTCACTGGGTTTTCCCCAGCAACGATACTTCCCTTCTGATACTTCCTAGGAAATACCACAAAACCTCTAGATAGCTAAAACAACAGTAACAAATATAAAGTGCTCCTCTTCAAATTTTAGCACCTTTTTTTTTCTCCACATTAAAATGATTATCAAGTACAAACGGGTTATATTCACAGCTTCCCTTCTGTTTACTTTAGCAAAGCTCATTGTCAGTAATGATAGCTTATTATGATGCCAGAATAAATTCCACGTGTTGCATGTTTTATTTAGGTTCATACTAGGTATGAACCAATACCTAGTACCTCGGTGCTTTACCTAGTAAGCACGGTTAGCCCATGATTAGGGCTTAGGACATTTCTCACTGGTTTGGTCTTTCCAAGTAAAAAACATGGGGTTTCTGCAAGGGATGCATCAGACCTGCAAGAGCTCTCTGCCTGTCTCACAAAGGCCAGACAAGAACAAGACGTCATCTCCCTTCAGCTGCGCCACGGTACGGGAACAGTTTCTCAGTACAGCTGGAGCTGAGTTAATAGATCCCAGCTCCTGCAGCAGGGAGCTCCTACCCTTCCTTCCTCTGCCTCCTTCCAGCCTCCTGTCACATATTTCTCCCAGGAGCACTGAGCTCCTTCTGGCACTCATTGTATCATGTGATAAGCTGATTGAGATCACTAAAATGGCAGAAAGTTAACACAGAAAAAGCAAACTGTGGGGTGGGGCAGGGGATTGCAGTCCAGGAAATTAAACTGGTTTGTTCTGCAGTGAAAACAGAGCTGGAGCCAGCAGGATGCAGATCACAGGGCTGGGAGGCAAGCTGCATGGCAGGCCCCTCCAGCCCTGGTGGGCTGTAACTCGACTCAGCTGACTTCTAACAAAAGCCTTTTTCTCTCCAGTGTATGTTTACATGAGGTGGAGACATCAGTTAGCTGTTGTGTACATTTTTCCCTAAACAAGCACTTAGAAATGGTCCCAATATTGGTATTTTCCAGCTCTCCACTGTTACACTCAGCAGTGTAACACTCAGCAGTCTATCCTAAACCAGTCAAACAGCCCAGGCTCCCAACCACTTTCCCAAGCACCATCTCCAAATGTTCTTATCTGCATCAGTCAAGCTCTCTAGCAACAGGTATGCCCATTAAATGTCGTCACTTTTATCACAAATAATGATAAGAACACAACTGAACGTTTAACTTGAAGTCACAGTTCCTTTATTTCTCTCCCCACCAATTTCTGAGTTTCCTAGGCAGAAACCTACATGATGGACATGAATAGTGTATTTTTTGCCTGGACTAACATTAACCTCTTTACAGGGTCATTTGAGACTGGCCCCCCAGAACTGAAGCACCCCAAACCACTAGTCTCTTTAGAGAAATCCTGATCCCTTCACACCTTATGATGGCCTCCATGGAGGTAATGGCCAGGCATTGTTGGTGCATTCAAAAGGACGAAATGCTGCAGAATTCACTGCCTCAGACTTCTTCCACAACTCTTCTTGTGCTTCACTCTCCCCCTTACTAACCAATCCACGTGCTTTCTATAAATACATTACTGTGCTCAGGCTTTGCTTGCTCTGTAAACTGGCTTTACCACAGGCATTTCTTTTTACAGCTTGGTCTCAAGCTGGTTTTGATTTTGAAACAAAGTTAGGGGTCGTAACGTGTGCAGTAGCCAACACTGACCTCACCTTGACCTTACTACTTCTGGAACCAAAGTCTTTCAGCAAGCCCAGGAGATTTCCAACTCCAATTTCCCACCCTGGATGTCTGCCTAATGACAAAAGCCTGTGGTCTTCTCCTCAAGACTTACCATCCCACAAGGAAGGAGGGGAAAATGGCTTACACTAAGGTGGAAAAATGCCTGCTCTCTGCCCCCATTTTCCACAGCTTTGTGGAAGGAATTGAAAGCCCAAGGACATGGGAAGTACAGTTTTAGGTACAAAAAGAATATGCTAAAGATAACAGAAACAAAGACATCTCTGAAGAAAAAACCCTCACAACACTAAGGAGGTCTGAAGAGAGAAACTTTTTTTAAAAAGCAGTGAAATACAGTTCCCCATTCACTCTGCAGCAAAGTGAAGGTGCTAAAATGGTGGCAGAATATACTCAAGCAGAAAATGTGGCATGCAGAAGAGCAAAGTAGCAGCACAGGATGCCATTTTCATGGAATTTTTACTCTATTTGTCTTTTTAAATCTACTAACTACTGGTGGGCTTGCTATTTCCAGAGAGACACCTAAAATTTCCCAGTGCTCGACTTCACAGCTTTTCTGAAGTCAGTGTTCCTCCCTGTGAGACTGGCCCACTCAGGATGACTAATGTGCACCAGCCCTGCCACATTTCCCCTGCAGCTTTACGGGATCCTGCTGGTGCCTCCACGAGTGTCCCTATGAAATCTGGGGCCAGCTACAGCAGAACACAGCCACTGCTCATGTTTCACTTTGCTGCTTCTGGGAAGGGAAAAGCTTCTACATAATCCTCCTAAGGGACTGGAAGCAAGGGAACTGCAGAGTGTGGGAAGTGTGGTCTGCTCAGTATCCCAGACCAAATTTAAACCCTGGTCACTTCAGAATATTGTTTAAAATTACCCCAAATACCCTTTTCATAATGTATGGAGCACTCATACTCTAAAAATCTGCAACATATGGGGAGGAGGAGGGATGGCCTGCATGACATTAATTTATATGAGAGAGGTAAAAAAGACATTTGAAGCCTCATTCTTTTCATTAAAAATATTTTCAGAGGGCGGGAAAAAACAAACACCACAAGCACAGCATATAAGCATGAGCAAAGTATTTGTTTGTTTGTTTATTTGCTTAACAGCTCTGCTCAAGAACAGACCTGTCAAACTATTAGCATGCTGGTATAATTTTGCTTGCAACATGAAATGGCTAAGCATTCCCATTTTGGAAACCAATCGTCAGATTTTCACGGCCAGCTTTTGCTTTGGAAAAATTTGTCAGTGTTAAAGAGAGTAATAATAAAATTGCAATGTGGTTGAATGTGAAGAAAGAACTGCAGAAATCATAGATGGGAGAAACCCTCTGAACTCAATCTCCTGGGATTAAAATTTATTTAAATTCTGCTCACAGGGCACTTTACAAATGCAGTAACCATCAAGGCTCCATCCAGACACCGCATCTCAGCAACACCTCTCCACTGGGATAGCATTTTTCATGCAGAATGAGGCCTCTGCTTTAATGCAGTGTGGACACATGGCCCCTCAGGGCATCCAGGCATCCCCATCCCCATGGCAAGGCAGAGCTTCTTGCAGCTTTGTTTCTCCAGGCAAATTGTTAGCAATTACCATTTAGATACCTGAAAAGCTCTGCAATATTGCAAAATGCAACCCATGCTAACTGAAAACAGCAGGTTCTTAAAATATTGCTAGGCGCCAAATATCAGAGGCTGAGGATCACAAGGTACTGTCCCACAGCCAGAATGCTGTGTGGATATGAAACGTGCAATGAAGACAACAGCAACCTAGAAGGACCTTGCTAAGCATAAGGTGACAGTCTCCAGAGCCAATGGACTGAGGAAGCTGCAGAGGTTTCTTCAAGCAGTGGCACAGCAACAGGTAGAAAAGGCTCCCTCATCCCGGGAGTGAGACTTTGCTGCTTACTGGGTTTCAGCATGGGAACCACAAGAAAACATCAGCACTGTCAGCTTGTCCCCATGGAAATGAGCCTGCCAACACATTCCCTTCGTTTAGACCACATTAAGATTTTATTCACCAAAATTTCTGAACTACTTCTTGTTTCTTACACATTCTCCCCACTTTTCTCTCCCTCATTTCACGGCTCTATTCATATTAAAGCACTTGGTTTATCCTCCCAAGGAAGCAGCCTAAGAATATTTTTAAGAGTGCCACTTGTACCACTGCATTTTTAAATGGCCTGTTGGGATGATCAAGCCAATGGAATTGAGATTGCCAACCTCAAATCTTGTCCTCTTTCTTCTCATGCAGATGACTGCAAGTTCATACACATAGAGCTGTAGTTCTCATCAACACAGCAATACTGCAGCATTTAACTGGATCTTAAACTGAATCCACTACTTAAGCACATTCCTAGTCATGTCTGATAGCAATATGGTGTTTATTTCTCATCTCAGTGGGCTTTATGCATGTTGAAAAGCAGAGGGGCAAGGGGAATCCGTGGTAGACTGCCAAGATCTGCAGAACATAATAAATTTCAAGTCTTCCCACACCCTCCAAGTCAGTTAATACACCTACTTCTTGCCTCTTTCTTTCTTTGCACACGTTATTACTGTAAAATTTTTAGTTTAGAGAAGTTCATAGGCAAGTGGTGTTATGTGCTGTTTTTCATGGTGCTCTTTTTCTCTTGTGCCTTAATGTTGTCAAAGAACTATGCAAATTAAGTGCAAAAGAAATTCCATCAGTTAATTTACCTCTTTTCCCCACCCTACCTTCCCCAATTACCCAAGATATTTATGTCACAGCAACGTATTCTCCTACTAACACAGTTTCAGACCTGTGGATTAACATGCCTCTGGAAGGCTGTTCCTGGAAGCCTGCTCCCCAGCTAAATGGCATGGAAGCAGCATGTGGGACAACATCACACATTAAGGAAGGAATGCACCATTTGTGACTCATTACTTGCAAGTTTGGATTATCCTGTGCCCTGTACACAATTAAGTCTTTGGTAAACTTCTCCCAGCTCCCAGTACTCTATGCTGACAGTTGCAGAAAGAAGAGGAATTGATCTGGAAAAAACAAACGAACTACTAATCCAATTTCAGTTGCCACACTGCACACAGAAGCAGCAGATTTAGACATGCCATCAAGGGAAAATACCACAGCACCACCTCTTAGCACTGAGGGCTGTACAATGCCCCGATGGCAAACGTAACTTTCCATTTCACTTCTCATTCAGCTGACTCTTAACTCCT